ACCACAGGGCTTCGCATTCAATTACTGGCTCCTTATTGGGTTACAGAGGCTAAAATCTTTTTAATTTTGCCTCCAGCTGGACTTGAACCGTTGACCTTGACTGTAGGGGCATAGGAGCTTAACTGCTAAGCTATGGAACCCATACCCCATATTTATATTATTTAAAATATATATATATATATATATATATATTTTTTTTTTTATCTCTTTTTATTATTTTAAAGATCCTTAGATATCTTTAGGATCTGTTACATCTTTTAAAAATCAGAGATATCATTCTGCAAAGATTATTGGACAGTATATAGCCTTTGTATGTTACTGAATTTATAAGATAACTCATGCTTCATCAAGTTTGTTATATAATGTTTTGAATCTTTAGCTCTATAGTGTAAGACCTATTATTTTTTTTTAGTTTGCAATTTACTAATTTTATATGACTCACTAACTAAATTGTCTGTATATTTTAAAGTTCTTAATTTTATTATTACATAATCTTAAATTAGACTTTCTTAATATTAACATTATTTGTTAATAGATTATATCTTATTTGATTGTTTCTGATTCTGTAACTATGCTAGTAATTATATTTTTTTTGTATGAATCTTGTTTTTGTTTTTAAATAAAAGTTCTTTGCAGATCTTTTTTCAATAATCATTCTGATAGAATTGTTGTTATTCTTTAAACTTGAACTTTTAATTTTGTGATTAAAATTCAAAAGCATTAACTATTGCACTATTAACTTATAGGTTTTTATTTCTATATTTTATAAAGTTTTTTAAAATAAATTAAAATTTTTTAGAATAATGCAAATATTTAATTTTAATTGGTTTTTTTTTTTTTTTTGCTTATGCTAAGGCTATAGTTATTAGTGACTATTGTCTTTATTATATTTTAATTATGATTATATAACTTGTACAAAGTGAGTATACAACTAGCCACATGTACAACTTTTGGTTGTCTATTTTAAATAGTTTACTCATATAGCAGGTTTTACACTAGCTGCTATACTTGCAATCTACTAAGAGATTATCTATTTAGACACTTTAATTTCTATACTTATACTAACAAATAGTGCACAAGTTTCCATATACCTAAGTGCTATCTAACCTAACTGTGACCTCTCTGTCTATATATTTGTCAAGCCATTACATATTTCAGAGTATATTATCTAACTGTAGGGCTTCAGGAGGCCCTCCTGCTAACTAACTATCTACATTTAGTCTCTTGTTAACAAAGCTCACACTTGCAGAGTTCATCTAGACCCTAGCACTAACTTTATAATATATCTCTAGTACTTATAGTATACTTCTGTTTCTAACCTTAGATTTTTAATTCAAATAGTCTAATAGAACTATAACCTGTTTTTGATACTCCAGGGTCTGCCTCTTAAGGTCCTTTTTCTTCAGTTCAAGACTTCTGGCAGCCTAGTTGGTGATACCTCTTATCTGAGATTTTTGTCCACTTGATTTCTTTCATATTAGTATCTATTTCCTAAGTTTAGCCTTTACATTAATACTGTAAAGATCTGTGCTACCTCTCTACTCAGGTCTTTCCAAGTGAACTTCAGTTTTCTAGTTCACAGATTTATATAACTACAAGAACTTATCTTAGGTTTGTATTATCTGATGCCAGTTTGCATTTCTCTGTGTAACTCCAACATTACACAGTTCTCCATGACCTGTCAGTTATCTGATGTAGTCATGTTACAGATACTAATCCCAACTGATTGATGAAGTGCCATTGTCATAATACTGTTTACCTTCTGTAATACCAATATAACATAGATGGTTTTTTAAATTTTCATTGTCAGTAGGTTTTGAACTTCCAACCTACTACTTGAAGGGTTGACAACTTAACCACTTCACTAAGTTACTATATTCAATTTTGATTAGTTAATTTATATAATTTATTATATATAATTTTTTGTATTAAATTTTTTTTTTTTTTTTTGTTAAAGACCATATTTGTGACAATACTTTATTGACTTTATATTGGGTTAGCTATTACAACTATTTTTACAAAAATGAGAATACAGCTAGTCATGCATGCAACTTTTTGTTGCCTATTTAAGTAGTCCATTCTAAGGTTCTACACTAGATGCTGTACCTATAACCTACTAGAAAAATATCTATATAAACTCTCTGATCATTTACTCTGTCATATTAGAATCCCCAATTAACCCTCCATATATACCTAATCAGTATACCATCTGAGCAGTATAGTATCTACTCTTTTTGTACTGGTTCTTAGACTGCTACATATTTCAGAGTATGTCATCTGCCAGTAAGGTGCAAGGAGCTCTCTGTTGTTAATTATCTACTCACTTTTAGAATACTGACACAGACTACCTTTACAGAGTTTATCCAGACCCTAGTACTAACTTCACAGCATATTCCTAGTACTTTTAGTATACTCCTGTTTTGAATCCAGACTCTCAATCCAGATAGCTTAGAAGGACTATGACCTGTCCTTTGTATATTGAAGCCAGTCCAATATCCTTTTCCTTCAGTCCGAAATCCAGCGGCCTGATTGGTAATACCTCTTACCTAAGGTTTTTGCCTGCTCAAATCCTTCACATTGGTATCTATTTCCTAGATCTAGCTTTTACAGTAGTACAGTTAGACCTTCCTAAGTGCACACCCAGGAACTGACTATAAATATGCACTTAGAGAGGGTGTACACTTAGGGAATTATGGGTTATGTTACACAAATTTATAATCATCCAATTAAAATAATTTTTAATTTAATATTGAAATCTGCTTATTGGCATGCTAATTAAAATAATTAGAGATTTCACTATTTTCATGAATCCTGAGATACTTGAAAAATTTAGCAAAATGATTTTTAGCCAATTCGATTAATTTTGTGATTTTGGCATAAAAATTTTATAAATTGATACTTTATATTTTACTGTATATGCATAATTTCAGAAATATGATATATAATACATATAAAAATATATCAATTATGCTGAATCATAAACATAATTGAAAAATATCTTGTATCGTAACTGTACTGTATGTATATATTTACAGTAATAAAAAATTTTTTGAATTTTCATTTAACTAATTTTTTTCAGGTATTCCAGATAAAAACAGCTATAACTTATTTCAAAAATAAATGTGAGTTTAAAAAATTTTTTTTATGTTTTGAAATTCTAAAATCAGGAGCATATGCATATGAAATTTATAAACTTTTTAAAACATTTATCTGCTGAATGCACAAATTATTTATGTGACTTGCATAAAAAATATGAAATAAATTCATGTATTCTATTGCATAATTTCTTTAATACTGTATAGCATAATAAAATCAAATTTTTTTATATACTTAAAAATGAAAAAAAATTTTAAAGATTTTTTTCAATCCTTAAATGTTTTTTTTTTAAAAAAAAAGAAAAAATATAAATTTAATAAAAAAATACCAAATGTTATTTAATTTTCATAAATAACCTGCTAACCAATGATATCATTACGACACTGCTGAGTTGTTTATAATTATCATCAATTTTTTGCATACATTAAGTTATAGAAAATAGAGAAGATTTTTCTTTACCTATTTCTTCAATTTATTAAAAAGAATCTACTCAATTCTTATGTCTTAAAATATTTGTCTATGCGAGTTTGCTAAGCAGAACTTGACATCATTTTTCTAATAAATTTTTCAAGAAAATTAATTGATTTTAATTGATCACCTAAGCCTTTCTGCTGAAGTAAAAACATCTGAACATTTTCTAAGCTATTTAATACCAAACTACCACTAACAACTGCGGGTTCTACACTATTATCTTCCTCTTCATCCATTATTTCAGTATTTTCTTCATTTATAACTTCAACACTTTTATCATTTCTAAACATATAAGCTAGCTCCTTAATGATTTAATCCTTTAGGAAAACTTTATAAACAATCTCTTCACTATTAAAATTTAAGAATTCATCAGTTTCTATTGCATTTGTAAGACAAAGAGTATTTAGTAACCTAATAAGATTTTTAAGCCTTGAATCACCAGCTTCACAAAGATCATCTGAAATATTTGCACTAGATAGGAGAATTTTTATATGATGCCAGCAGTTACGTATAGTTTTAGCTGAAACCTCCCCCAACCTTTTATAATATACAAGTTCACTTGTAAAACATTCATTTTCAAATTCTGAATAAAATTACCTGCTTTAATTTGCTCCAACATCCATCTAATATTTTTAAAAAAATATTTTTTTTAAATTTGGATCCAATAGTTTTAATAAACTACTGTATCAGAATAAATTAAAAAGTGAAATTCAATACAAATATCCAGCCCTGTTTTACTGATAGTCTGCTTCATTAAAAGCCTTATTATTAAAGACTGTATTATGTAATTAGCTATCATTAAATAGACTATTAGTAAAATGAGGCTATTGGGATTAAGAATTGTGATAAATAAATAAAATAATAATAAAGCGAAGAATAAGTAAAACAATAAAAAAAATAAATAAAATAGAAATAAAATATACAATACAATAACTTACTGGAAATGAAAATAATGATAGGCTCTTTTAAAAGCCATGATTATTCCTGTATCCATTGGTTGTATTCTAGAAGTTGTATTTTTGGATAAAAAATATATATCTATATACTGGAGGGTTAACTTATCTAATTTATGACTAGAACAATTGTTAAGAAGTAAAAGAACATGCTGGCCTCTATGCTTCTGCAACATTTGGTGGTTGAAATCCTGAAGCTACTCTTGAAAAAGAATTACAAGCATCTAAGCCTTAGCATTACTTCTATATGTTATGAGCAAATTATTAATTTTCACATTTTTGAAATATTAAGGTTTGGCATATTTGCCAGTTATAAGAGGGGCCAACTTATGGGATTCATTAGCATTTGCACATAATGCTATAAAAATATATTTCTTATTTTTTTTTGTGCCTTGCAATTTGCTGAGTCACTAAGGTTCGATCTGGTTCCAATCTAAAAAAAAATTTTTTTATTAAAAAAAAGAAAAAAAAATTTTTATCAAAGAAAAAAAAAACTACTGATAAAAAAGTCCAGTTTTGTCCATGTTATATATGCAGTTAAAAGAGTATTCAGAGCATTTACTTTGCAATAAAGGTAAGGATTCAGTAATAACATCCTCATCAACAGAATCTGCTTCTCCATGAAGCTTTATCTAACAGATTCCATTTTACTCTTTAAATTTTTGAAGCTACCCAGAAGAAAAATATAACTTGCCTTCAGGGACCCTAGTTCATCTGCTAACAATTTTGCCTTTTCGATCATCATAGCATCACTTAGAATAGTGTAGTATTGATAGATTAGTATAAATTCCTTAAGCACTAACTCAAGCTCTGGTACAGTAACGGTCATATGTCGCTTGGCATTTGGATTTACAATTTTATTTGAAAGTTGTTGGTCCTTAGTTTGTAAGATTTGAGTGACTATAGACTCATTAATTTTAACTACCTATTTGTCTTCAATCCACTTCATATATTCTGGGCAGGTTCTCTTATTATCACAGATATAAACACAGAATTTAAATTTTTGTGTATTCATTAAAGTTGTTCTTTTTGGCATTATTCAAAAAATTTTATATGAAAAAATTAAAAGGGCACAAAATTATTGCTTAGAAGAGAACGCAAAAGCATTGATTATCAAATTTAAAGGGGCTATTAAAGCAGCAGATTCATTATTTTAATTTTTTTTTTTTTTTTTTTTATCATTTTTTAAAGGTTAATTAAAAAAGTTTTAATTAAAGATTTAATTTAAAATGAATTAATTAAATAAAGTCTTTGATAAATACACCATCAAATTTTTTTTTTCAGAGAAAAAGAATTTACTAAAAAAGTAGTTAAGGTGGCATCTATAATTTATGTTAAACTAGTTTGTTATAAGATTTTTATTTTTATACTAGTTTAATGTAAATTATGAAGGTTACATATCATCTGTAACAATGTTATATAATTGTTTGAAATTTTATTGGTCAAGATAATCTATTAGCATGTGATAGTACACTTATGGAAGATAGCCTAATAATAAAAATTAAATGCACATGCAAAACATAGAGGATGTGCATTTAATACTATGGTTCCAGCTTGAAACCAGGCTTTAATGTACATTTATAGAGGATGTGTACTTATAGAAATGTACTTAGAGAGGTTTGACTGTATCCTGGAATTTTACCAAGATTATTCCTAATTGAGAATTTCTTTGTTCTATTATTATCCTCAGCTCCCTAATTATTATGGCTTTCTTATAACAGGTTTGTTACTATTTAAGAATCTGAGTACCAAAGATCTTTTTATTTTTGTAATATGCCATCTGGTGTGATTAATCTGTAATCATAATTCTAATACAGTTTACATCTCCTGTTAGACTTGAACTGGCAATCTTGTGATTAGTAACCTAAGAGTATAACCACTTTGTTATTGACCTGCAGATCTGGTTTTCTTGGTTTTATAAATTTATATAGACACAAGAATTTATTTTAAGTTTGTACTGCTTAATATCAATTTGCATTCTTTTGTATAATCAAATTACATAAATGTTTTTGATCTGTCAGTCATGTTAGTATAATTGTAATTACAGATATCTAATTTTAACTAATTAATAGAATGCTATTGTTATAATATAAATATATTTTTCTAAATTTTATTTCTAATAGTTTTTAAACTTACAATCTGTTATTTGAAGGATTAATAACTTATTCATTTTACTAAGTTACCATATTTTAAAATTTTTTATTTTAATTTTATATAATTTTAAATTATTTATTTTAATTTAAAAATTAAAAAAATTTATTAAAAATTATTTATTTTATTTTTATTAATTTACTTTTAAATATTTTATATATTTCTAATATTATATATTGTTATAGAATAAATTTCTATTATTATATTATTATTATTATTTTAGTATATATATATATATATTTTTTTAACTTTTGGCAGCCATGATGGTCAACTAGTCAGAAGTTTATTTATAAATGTTTAGTATAAACAATATACAAATAGAACTATATTTAACTCCATGTGCCATCATCATGCAGTTACCTCAATTGGCACCTATGAGCAATCTGCCACACCAGACCTGCTAAAATCTGAATTGAGCTCATCTGTCTGCCACCCTACAATTGAATAGCACCGATCTAATACTATTCATTCATAGGGAGGTAAAAAACCAAAAAAATTTTTTTGTTGAGGGAATGTACTAAAAAAAAATTGTGTATAGGAAAGAAACATAAAAAAAATAAATATCAAGAAATGAAAAAGAAAGGGATTGCTAACAAAGGCCAGACAAACAGTCACTAATTATAAAGGCTGTGTTGACCTATTAAAAATTATATGTTATTAAATATAGTAATCTCTACTTTAACTCTATCTAATTAACATATTTAATACTAAAGCTTATATCCTAAGAGAAACAATTCAAACA